CTAGTTCTCTGCATGGTACACAGTATCAAAAAAGGGGGGGAGCAAGAGACAATTGCTCCTCAAGTCACAGCACAATCTTAGTCTCCAAATGCTGATGAACAATAACAACAGTATCATTATATATACTAGGGCTCAAAAGATCCAATCTGGATCTGCTCTAAAATTGATCCTGGAGCAAACTTAAGTATACACGTTTGTGTATGCAATTTTCATTCAAGCGCTTATTACAAAGATTCAGAAATCAAAATTTTCCATATCTGGGGGAAAAAAATAAGGCAAACCATTTGAGTGTTAGTGCTAGTGAATTTGCTGAATTTTTGGAAGCCACCTCTAACTTTTCATGGATGATGTAAACAGAAACACTGTTTCTGCTTGAATTGTATTTCCACCTTCCAATCGTCCCTTGCACAACAAAGAATACAGGAGTCAGGATCTGTCAGGAATTGTGTTCTGCATTTAGTCGGCATTTTCCAGATACCTGGAGATAAGAATTCATTTTATCTAGGAAAACATGCAGAACCCATTTTAAAAACTGCAACAAATGAAAATAATGATTTCAGAAAGAATAGATCAGAGACTATTTTTTTTCCAGATTTAACTAGATCATTGGCTGGCACATGAAGATACCAATAAAATGGAGAAATTGGAACCGGCGGGTGGATGGGAATGGTCTAATCCTGAAGTGCTCTTATCCTAATTCATCAACACAACTCTAAAGTGCAGTAAAAACCTATCAAAGAAGATATGTTTTGAATATAGGTACACTTGACTTACAACCATTCATTTAACAACAAACAGCTAGAAAAGGTGACTTATAACCTGTTCTCATGCTTACGAGTATTGCAGCATCTCCAGAGTCACATGATCAAAATTTGAGTGTTTGGCATGTATTGATCTTCCCAGCTGGCTTCTTACAAGCAACTACAATTGGGGAAGCTGATTTTGCCTAACTGCATGAGTTACAGGGATTCAGTTGTTGTATAAAACTGGATTCACACTTAACTGGCAAGAAAAGGTAACAGAATCAGAAATGACTCACAACAATAGCCTTGGTTAGCAATGGAAATGCTGGTTCTAATTGTGGTTGTAAATTGAGGACTAGCTATAAACCTAAATATCCAAGGCTGGATTAACTGTAATCAATTAATTAGCTGTAAATCTGTAAACAAGTACTGAAGAGAACTTGTTGGTCTGGCTAAACTGTTGCCTATTAAATGCAGAATCCTGGAGGCTGAGTGAATTGGTAGACTAGTTAAGGGCATACATCCCTCTTGTCAAAAGAAAAAGGAGAACCTCTGGAACTAGAGATTGATTTGAATACCTAGGAAGATTCTAGAACAAATAGTCAATTGGTATTCTCTTAACTTGGCTGTTTTCCTGCAGATAGTTCTAGGTAACATCATCAATCATGGGAAACTGAAGTTCACTATTGATTATGTAGAGTAATTTGCCCTGCCAGTCTTAGTTCTGATGACATTTTGTTGTTGTTGTTGTTGAAAGTTATCAAGGAAGAAACTACAGTCCAATCAAGACCAGGAGGGCAAGCTACTATAGATAACTAACCAGCAAACCACTCTTCCATGCACTGATATTATTTAACCTAGTAACTAAGATCCACAGAAACATCTGCCGAACAACCAAGGATCCATCATTCTCTATTATTGGATATATAAGCCCTTTTAAAAATGCATAAGTTTCCAATGATTTGTCAGAAAAAAAGTCTTATCAGACTAATACAAATGCTAGGCAGATATTTCTCAACTTCAAGAAAGCAACTGACATTGGACACTATGGCATTATAATCAAATATGGGTTTTATGTTGTTTTTATTAAGTGATCCATAACTGTTTGAAAACTGTGTTCAAAGAGATAATTAATTAATGGTTCCACATTTTAAAAAAATCCAATGAGATGCCACAGAGTCTAGTCCTGGGCCCAGGTTTTCAACATTTTTATAAATGACTTGAATCAGGGGGTTGAAGGAATGCTTAAAAATTGCAGATGAGAAATACAATACTGTAGAACACATTAACAAAATTCAATTTTGACAGGACAGAGAAATGGGATTAAAAGAATTAAATGAAATTGAGACAAAGTATTTATAAACACATCAAATGCACAGACGTACTTGGCTTGGTAATGTTAGGTATGAAAAAAATCTTGAACTATTAGTTTACTACAAACTGAATATAAATTAGCGGGCTATAAAAAATAAGTAAATGCAATTTTAGACCACATGTCTAAATTACAGCAAATTATTATAATTTATTCTGCTTTTGTCAGATCTCATTTTTAATATTATGTCTGGTTCTAAACATTTCACTTAAAGGAAGGATCCAGACAAAGGGAACATATCCAGGGGTGGGATTCAAATTTTTTAACAACCGGTTCTGTGGTGTGGCTAGGTGGGCATGGCCAGGTGGGCGAGGCCATGTGACTGGATGGGCATGGCTTCTTCTTTTGCAGCAAACTCCCCCCTTTTTGGGCCTCCTGGGCCTCAGGGAAGCCTCCTGGGTGGGCGGTTTTGCTCCCAGAAGGCTTCCCTGGGGCCCAGGAAGGCAAAAAATGAAGCGCGGGGGGGCACATAGCACCCCCACCCCACCTCACATGCCCCTTTTGCCTCCTGGGCCTCAGGAAAGCCTCGTGGGCGAAGCAGTAAGACAGTGAGGGGGATCCTGGCACAGCTGATCATTGGAACAGCTGATCATCGGGAGGTGGGGGAAGAAATACCCTAGGGAGTGACTGAGTGGGGGAGAATGCAGTCAGCGATGTCAGGCATGCATATGATGTCGCGCATGCCCACAATGTCGCACATGCACAATAAGGACTGACTGGTGGAGGGGGGAAGGGGGGAGAGGGTCGGGGCCAGCCAGGGGCACCATTTGCCAGTTCTCCAAACTGCACAGAATCATAACAACCGGTTCTATAGAACTGGTCCGAACCGGTAGAATATCCAGATAGTGATAATAAAGACAATGAGGGAATCAGAAACTAAATCTTCTGAGAGGAACTGGCCATTTTCATGATGTTTTTCAAGCACCTTCAACAATATCACATACATTAAAAAGGCCAAGACTTGTTCTTTATCATCAGAAGATATTAAAAGGGATTATGTTACAGGGTGATAGATTCCAGTTGAATATCAAACAAAACAAAACCTTCCTAGCAGCAAGAACAATCTGACAATAATATCCAGAGAAATGATGGATTCCTCTTAATTTGGATGTGCTCAACTGGTGACTAGATGACTATCAATTAGGAATGATTTAATATAATTCCTATATAGAATAAAAGTTAGCATCAATGGTCTCATAAGCCCCTTCTAATTCTATGATTATTATGCTAGTGTTCCACGGTATGGATCTCAGTGTTCAGTAAACTACCCTTAACCTCCTCAGTCTTTAAATTATCAGAGTCAAAGTATTGTTTTTTTCCTGCATTATTCTTAAAGCCATGGAATGTTTTGGGTAAGTGAGATGATTTCAGCATCTATCATAGTCATGATGGGTTTATCATTTGTCTCTAATATTAGTCCAGGTTTTATTTCCAGGAGCTCCCTGAAATATTTTCTTAGCACTACCCAATTCCGCACTATTTTCTGATCCACTTTTTCAGGAGCAAAACCTTCTTTCCTCTTTCTAATTCACCTTATTGTTTCATCTGCTCTGAGAAATACATGTACATTGTACATCCAAAATGAAAATATTACCAACAGATAAGAGTTTGCTTTATGTAAAGTATTTTTGATACCCTGCAGAAATTGTGTCGGTTATATAAACAGTTGGTTTTCAGACTAAAAGTAGTGGCCAAGGAAGGGAAATTATGATATTTGAGAAACTGTTACTGAAAATCATAAGTCAATGGTATGGACTTTACACTTCTGGAGTAATGATTTTGAATCATTTTTAATGATTTCTTTTCCTTAAATGACTTGTGTTCGTTATTCTCTTTAGGGTAGTCATTATTTAAGTTGAAGCCTCATTCTAAGACTCTTCACTTTCAACCTAATTTTGAATTTATAACTGAAAAATGAGAAAGCTATATCCATTACATTTTTCCAATTATTTGTGACCTCTGAAAATGAATGTCTGGTGCTAGTGTCTACATTTTCTGCTTTACCTCTCAATCTATAATTGTCACTCCCACAGCTACTACTATCATTGGCATTCAAGCTTTCTTGGTGTATTGCTTCTTAGTCTTGTTTGCCATTTTCACAGCACATCCATCCATTCTTCTCTGTCAATCATGAATATCCAGTTTCCATCAGTCTCTAATTCAAATTGATTAGAAACAGCATGCAGCTCCATGTTCCAAGAGCACAACTTTCGCCCTTTCAAGTGTGTGTGTGTGTGTGTGAGAGAGAGAGAGGGGGGGGGGGGGGGGG